CTGACAGGTCCTCACAAGTTGTTTTGTCCTAGGTGTGGACCTAAGGGATCTGGATCGATATTGAGAGAGCCAAGAAATTGGTGCTAGGTAATAGCCCGATCCTAAAATGGCTGACTGCCACATGCTGGGGGCCGATAGAAAATCCCTGTCAGGGACGGTCTATGGAGCCCAGCAAGGCTCTCAGGGTCTGGCCTGTGTCTTCTGTGGACCACTGCCAGGCACTGACTTTGAAGCCCAAGCCACCAGCTGAGAGAATCAGACGAAAGATACAGCCTGGCCCTGGCCTGTGTCTTCTAAGAGCCTCACCGCCAGGCACTGTATCAGAGGCCTGACCAACAGCTGTGAGCCACAGATAAGAATCGGGGCCTGTGCGCTGTTAAAGGAGAACATGGTCCCCACCTCAGGATTTAGAGCTTCACGCTTCACAAAACTGCGTGGGAGGCTCACCCAAGCTCTCCCAGCCTGGACTCACGATTTTGACGCTGAAGCTTCATCACAATGAAAACCGGAGAGCGAATCTCTGCTCTCCATGGAGGTGCAGCTCTACCAGGTCCCTGGAGCTGCGCTGTTGATTTTGCTGATTTTTCTGCCTTTCACAAGAACTCTGATGCTAAGACTAGCTTTGAGACTCCAGAAACACTAGCTCAACTTCAAGGAAGCTGAGTCAAAAAGCTGAGGATAGCACCAGAAGCTGGCTTTTTATAGTGTGGCAGACTCAGCTCAACAACATCATAAGGAAGAGTCTAACCCATTGCTGGACTCTTGATGCAGTGTGCAGAACAAAAGGGATTAATCAACTGGCCTCAAACACCTGGGGGAAGGGGGTTGAGAGAAGCTAGGTCTTAACAGTTTTCCTAAAGGCAACCAAATTTGGGGGGACTGCTCTAGAACAGAGGTCCCCAACCGTTGGGCCGTGGACCAATTTTGATGGTCCGCAAGAATTTTTTTTGCCTTTTTCACATTTCTTACATTGCACTAAAAAATCGGGAATCTTCAAACTACAGTCCCTGGGCCAACTATGGCCCATGGAAACAATTAATCTGGCCTGAGCATGAACAAGAGGCTGCACTGCACACATCACTCCACCCACCTGCTGGCCCCCACACTTGGGCCAAGCACAAACCTTATCTTGTGTAGAGCAGTGCGAGCCATGCAAGCTGGAACTGGAAGACCAATAGCAGGGGAGGGAAATCCACCTTGGACTCACCATGCTCAGCCCAATAGTTGCTTGGGGGGAGGCTCAGCTGCCTTTAGGGCCTGCCTCTTGGCTCGCCTCTTGAGGAGAGTTCACTAAAGTGGCATGGGAAACTTCGGTTGGGCTCCTCAAGAGACGAGACTGACTCCGACTGCTTCCCAGATGCTGGAGAGAAGTAGCCAGAGTCACTCTCACCTCTTGAGGAGCCCGGCTGAAGTTTCCCATGCTGCTTTAGTGAGCATTCCTCGAGAGGTGAGTTTGAAGGGGGCTGATTTAGCTACAATGTATGGCAACGCTACGGAGAAGTTTCCTGTGCTACTTTACTGAGCACTCCTCAAGAGTTGAGTTTGAAGGGGGCTAACTTAACTACAATGCGTGGCAAAGCTATGGAGAAGTTTACAATTTTTGTTATAGATAAGCATTTATAATTTTGTTATATTAAATAGGTGCATTTCATTAACATGAAATGGAAGTTCTCATCGTTATTTTATAAATGTGTCTTTTTTTAAAAAAATTCATATTGGTGGTCCACAGGACTTAAAATTATGAATTTGGTGGTCCCTGAGGTCCAAAAGGTTGGGGACCTCTGCTCTAGAAAACAGGGGAGTCACCAAAAGAACATGCTTCCTAGATTTAAAAAGGTGTCAAGATTTAAAAGAGAAAGCCTGAAACATGCCCTCTATATGACAGCCTATGTGGCAGTCAGGTATCCTTAGGAGATAGCCCAACAAATAACCTTTATCATGCAGGTTTTAAAAGTGACAATCAGTACTTTGAATTGCATACAGAACCCTACTGCAAGCCAGTGCAACTCATGGCAAAGTGGTGTTACATGGATGTGATGAGTTGTGTCTTTGCAGCTAGATTCTGGAAGATTTTGCAACATGTTGCAATAGTCTAATTGGGAAATGGTTAAGGCATGAAATGAGCATCCAATTTAGGAACGAGTACAACTCAGTCACCAAATATTATTCAAACTCACCCTGCCCCCACCCACCCACTATACTACTCACTATTCTTCAAGAAAGAGCTGTGAGTGCAAAAGAATCCCTGGTTTGCATAATCACCTTAACCAAAAGCAAAACCAGAAATGCTCCAATGCCCTGAAATCTGGATCTGAGAAACCCAAACCCTATCAGGATTTAAGCTGCAACCTGTTGTTTCTCATTCAGACACAGGGACAGAAATACTCTGAGCTGTCCAAGGGGGAAATTTCATCATTGGGGAACTTGTATCAAAAGTGCTGTGAGATGCCTAAAAAAAGCAGCCTGAGTATATTTTAATTTACCAGCCAGCAGAAATTAATTCAGATATGTGATTGATTTCACTCTGTAATGCTCAGCTAGCAGATACACAACTTAAGGCACTAAGCAGAATTAGTATTCTTTGAAAAACTACATAGTCTGCCAACTTCAAATTCCCTTAACTGGAAGCCAAAGTGTCTCTTGAATCTATAACCAAAGTGATAAACTTCTGTGGAAGTTTACATTCATTCACTTTGGTTCTGTACTGCGTAACTTCTAAGCAGAACTTAGCAAAGAGGCCCAGACATACACAAGCTTCACTGGGGAAAAAGGATACTGTACATTAATGGAAATAATGGGTCACTATAGAGAAAACTCAGTTATCTGTTTTGTTTTCTACAATGTATCTTTATAATGTTCCACAGATCTATTATAATGGATAGTTGATATAAAATGGTGCAAGTAGTTCCTACAGAGTGTGTATTGCTATGACAGAGGAAGAAGACAAAGTGCAAAAGGAAATGGAAAAAGAGAACTGAACACTGAAAGAAGAATGCTAAGGTTCAGATATAGAGAAGTTAGTGATGGACAAAGAGAAAAGTGAATACTATAAAATTTGTGAGAGGAAGAAAATTAATAGTTATATTGATCTAGTTAGAGGAAGGATAAGGAATAAATGATACTCATTTTGTTGAAGCCACCCTGGACTTCATGATACCTTACAAAGATCTTTAAAAATTATTAACACAGAAGATAAAAGATTTAAATTTAAAATGCACATATCAAGAAAATCATCTCACAAAAACTAGATATAATCTACCATTTTGAATAAAAATATCAAAACAAAGAAGTTAAATAGGTAAAAATCATTTGATAAAATCAACTGAAGGTAAAACAAAATATCATATAACTGAAATGCAAGTTTAATATACAACCTTAATTGAAATACTGCCTAAAATTCTTGTAAATTATCTCCACAAAGAGATATACCAAAGCTAGAAAAATACAGAAAAGGGCAATTAACATGCATATTAGAAGCTTAAAAGGGAGAGTAGGAAAAGACTTACAAAAATAACTACTTAGATCTAATCATTATGGCTGAAAAGCAGTATGCTTCTCAATATCATATATCAGGGAACTATTGCAAGGGAGTGTTACTGAAGGTAATTTAGACTAATCCTTGGAAGTAAATTCTGGATCTGATTACCACTTTGGATTTAACTGGTCGAGACTTCTGATATATTCAGTAAGAATTAACACAGAATTATAGAGTAAAAACCAGTGGAGAAGGAAAAAGTGGGGAGGAGTATGCTGAATGATGTAGATAGATAACAGAGTAGCAACTAAATATGTTTCTCCTTTTTTGTCATTAACATAATAGTATTCTTTCAGACTCTTAAAAATACAGTCATGTTTTCCTGTAATATACACAATTCTTATCACTGTTAAAAAAAAATTAAACTTTGCAAGAGTTTAACAAATTCGACTTGTGCAAATGACATGACATATGCTTAAAGCAAAATTTCTTTAAAGATAAAATGTATGTCATGTAAAAATTTTAATTTTTAATTAAATAATTTTAATTTTGTAAATATGAGTTGCACATTAATTCATAACTATGAATAACTGAAACCAAGGCCATTTCCTTTAAAGAAAAAGTCAACTGTGGGAAAGTACAAATGTTAACAATGCAGTTTGTACCTGGTCCATGATAATGGAACATTCAGCATTTCTTTTTGTTTCTATTACCTATTTTTTAAATTAAATGTATCATTTTGAATACATGCCAGTTACACTAAAGTGTGAGAGCTTTGACCTTCCCAGACTTAAGACCTGTAGAAACAGGAAGGATTTTGCTCTTAGAATGCCACACTGCCATTGAAATTTATTTATTTATTTATTGAATTTATATGCAAACGTAAGAAATACTGCAAATATAAGCTTAATAAGTAGCCCTTCTAGCAAAGAAATTAAAGGAAAAGTGATCAGCTTCATAGCCCTTTGATGTGCTGTTCAAAAGATTACAGGATTTCGATTTCTTTCCATCAATACTGAAATAAAGAATTGTAAGATTGTTTTTATCACTACATCGATAGTCCCATCTATAACTTATATTAGTGCCAAAAGCAGAAACTACTCTAAAAAAGAAGAGGGAAAAAGAAAAAGCCTATTTTCTCCTCGTGTATAAAAGTAAGCAATCGAAAGGAACACATGGAAGACCTAATGTACAACCAAGTCCTTGAATGTGCACCATTCCCGATTTACGTCAAAAGGGCAAACTCAAGAAGTGTTGGCTGTAAATTGGGAACTCCCAAGTATTACACAAGTGCAGCAGACAAAGGCCCCGAGCTAGAAAAGGTGTAACTTAGGTGTAATTGCAAAGAGAAAGTGGGCTCGAGATCAAAAAACGACAATTAATAAAAAGGAATTTTAAAAAAATCAGAGAAATGAAAAGGCGCCAGATGATCTGCGGGGCAGCTTTGCATAATGAAAAGGCACACCACAGCAGCCCATGCCAGAAACCGGTCGGGAAGCGTCGAGGAAAGAATAAATGAACTCACCTGCCCAAGTGTTCAGGTACGGCTCCAGTATCGCCGAGTTGTCCAGCAACCACACTCGGACGGCACCAATCAAGCTAGAAAGCCCACTGTAACCGAGGTAGCCGACTACGAACACTCCGATCCAATAGTAAAAACCGTCAGGGAATAAAAAGTAAGAAAAGGCCTCCATGCCGTTCCCCAAAGCTGCGCCGATAACTACTACAGTGATGATGGCCCGGCAATATTGAGCCTTCCAAGCTTGGGTCGGACCTGCCTACAAAACAGCTCCGCCCCAAAGAGCAGCTATTGGCTAATTAATGCAATGTAGGATTACGATTGGATAGCTATCGTGGAACACATGGCTCTTGATCTCGCGGTACTGTCTTAAAATAAAATAAAAAACGTAGTTGAGATAAATTCTCGGACAGACGAGCACAATGGTCTATAAGTCGCTTCGAGCGCCCATGTAGCGAATGCGTCTTCCGGCAGAGCTTGCTTTCTCTAGCTCCTATTGGCGGAGGGTGATGTCATTTTTGTGGAGCCTCGTTGCGATTAGAGAGTATAATTGGGATGAACTGGCAGTTACGAAAGAGAATTCGTTGTGTGGAGTTAAATATTGGGACTAGCGAGGGGACGGGCTTTTCTTTCTTGCAGTTTTTAAATTTGTCCTCTTTCGGTCCCACAAACAAGCAGAAAAACAAGCTATATGCAACCAGAAATGCAATATATTTATATAGGCAGCTCACTTTTTAGAACAATGAATCTGAATGTAGAGCTATATGTTGCAGACTTGCTGCCAAAAAGCCCTTTCAAAGGCTGATTATTTTATTTGTCAAGCAATTATAATAACAGGTATAAGTATAAACATAGTTATGAATACATGAGACGGATACATAGAAGAAAAATAAAAAAAACAGGACAGGGACGGTAGGCACATTGGTGTGTTTATGCACGCCCCCTACAGACCTCTTAGGAAAGGGGTGAGGTCAATAGTAGACAGTCTAAGGTTAACGTTTTTGGGGTTTGGGGAAGAAACCACAGAGTCAGGTAGAGTCTTCCAGACATTGACCACTCTGTTGCTGAAGTCGTATTTCGTGCAATCAAGTTTGGTGTGATTAACCTTGAGTTTGTATCTATTGTTTGCTCTTGTATTGTTATGGTTGAAGCTGAAGTATTCATTGACAGGTAGGACATTGGACCGAAGGTGGCATAGTTCTATGTTTTCTAGGTCTAGAATTTCAAGTCTGCATGCCCCCTACAGACCTCTTAGGAAAGGGGTGAGGTCAATAGTAGAAAGTCTAAGGTTAAAGTTTTGGGGCTTTGGGGAACAAACCACAGAGTCAGGTAGAGTATTCCAGACATTGACCACTCTGTTGCTGAAGTTATATTTCTTGCAATAAAGTTTGGTGTGATTAACCTTGAGTTTGTATCTATTGTTTGCTCTTGTATTGTTATGGTTGAAGCTGAAGAATTCATTGACAGGTAGGACATTGCAATATCTGATTTTATATGCTATACTTAGATCGGACCGAAGGTGGCGTAGTTCTAGGTTTTCTAGGTCTAGATTTTGAGTCTGGTGGCATAAGGTATTCTGCAATGAGTAGAGAAGTGGAGAACTCTTCTTGTGAAATATTTCTGGACTTTCTCAACTGTGTTAATGTCAGTAATGTGGGTTCCAGACTGATGAGCTGTATGTGAGTATTGGTCTAGCAAATGTTTTCTATGCTCTAGTTAGTAGCATAATATTACTAGAGAAAAAGCTATGTAAGATTAGGTTAACAACTCTTAATGCCTTTTTGGCTATGTAGTTGCAGTGGGCTCTAGCACTTAGATCATTAGAGATGAGTACTCCAAGATCTTTGACAGAGTTTGGATCATCAACAAGGACTTGACTATTCAGCTTGTATTTTAATTTGATTTTTTTTTGCCAATATGTAAGACAAAGCATTTATTTGTTGAGATTTGATGTTTAATAAACTTTTCATTAAACCTTGAAGTTACCAACTTCAAAAAAGGTATTTACAGCCTCCCTTCAAATTTATTATTGTCTTACCTCATGGGTTATATGATCCTATAGAGTCCTGCAGTCAAATGACCGGAATTTGCAATCATTTTTCCATTTTCCAATAGAAAACCCTAATCCTTTGGTTATGCTGGATTCACGTAACAATTATATGGTTTGTTTAATGAACATGTGATATGTTTAATAACTATAGTAGCAAGAGAAGGTATTTAATAAAGACAGCAACTTCTCAGAGAATTGTATGGTTGCTGGGGGGGGGGGGAACCTGTTTGTACCTGTACAGGCTAATTATATATTATATTTTTTTCAGTGGCTCACCCAAATTGTTTCATCCCTGCAACTGGTTATATGAGTTTTCCTGCTTAAATCAAAAATACATCAGATCTAATGATCAACGTATTTCCATAGTCTTTTCAGAATCTTCCTAGGCTTATCTCTTTAAACAAAAGTATGAAGAGTTGAAAATAATATAAATGTTTTTTAGCATATCTGATTTTTTATAAATAAATCTGATGTGGGTTTTATTTGGTAGTTTAAAATGTTTTTAAAGGTATATAATATTAATTTGATTAGATTTAACAACACAAATGTGGAAGTAATTGAGATGTTTATGAGCTCGGGCATGTTATTTCCAGAATTCCTCCCATAGGAATAAACATAGAGTATAAATCTTCACAGGAAAAGTGAGATAAAAAATCAAGATTTCTATATTTAAGAAGCCATTTGTTGTTGGGGTTGGCAATATATTATTCATGGATACTTTATCTGTCCAGATGATATTGCATGTATTCAGTTTCTGCATTTATACTTTCATTTAGCAAGTTAAGAATAGGATGTCTCAGTCTAATAGAGTTAAAATTGTTCATTTCTAGATGATCATGAATTAATTATATATATGCCTATTGTGTACTATTATAAATTACATATATGGCTGCTTTGGTTCATTTCATCAACTCTGTATATGGTGGTATGTGTTAATGTGTGGAGTTGTTTTAGTTATGCACTGCAGTGTAATTAACGGTTAACTGTGTATTTAACGTATATTATAAACATTTGTTTATTTTCAATATTTTTTGATAAAGGATATTTTTCTAAAATGTGTTGGGAATTAAATGTACTATTTAAAAATAATTCAAGGATGTTTTCCATATTGTGCCAAAATCATCTTTAAAAGTTCAGAAATTCTTGTCAAAGAGTAAGACTTCAAATCTTACGGTGCTGACCATTTAATTTCATTAGGCCAAGCATGTCCTTATTGAACTATTGATGTTGATTAAATGTTGGTCAGATGTGATGGGAAAGAATTAAAAATGAAACAAAACTCTAAGGGTAGTTGTACTATGGACTAAAAGAAATGTTAGTGGAAGGTGAGTGAATTTGATCTGGGGAATAAAAAAAAGTCCAGGATGACATGGGTATGGTATGGTATGGTATGAAGAGGGATGCATGAGGTAAAATATTGCATCAATGGGGGAGAGAGGAAAAAGGGAAAGTAGAGGAATATGTAAATGACAGAGAGAAAGAGAAGTTTAACTAATTTAAGTTAATTAGATTCAAACTAACTTCAGGCAAAAAGTAATTTGGAACATGTGAATTAATTGACATTGACATGGGAAAATAATTTATTTTCTACAAAATTGAAGTTTTGCTTTCTGTTAAATGGATGAACTTATAGCAGGCAATCAGTAAAATTAGCAAAATCATGCAAGAGCCATTAGTAGAAAAAAAGAGACAATAATGACATCTGTCCCAGAAAAGGAGGGACTGTGAGAAAGAGACTCAAGATAATCCACCTTGATTCTGTATAAGAATCTGTGAAACTGGCAGGTTTTCAAGATTGTGTTATACTCTAGAGCACCTTATTAGGTGGAAATTTAGTAATCCTTGTAGCATCTTTCTTGACCAGACTTGCCTGAAAGCCTGACATTAATTATGAAAGCTTCACCATCAAGACACTCAGTATGCAACACAGAAGAACAACTTGCTGAACTTACTGTTACAACATCAATAGTAAATTATATACTGTATAATAACAAACTTGTACAATGCTAAGATGGAATTAACACATTTGAGATGAGGCTTGCCTATGACAGGAGGAGCTCAACAGCCTACAGTCTGATGAATATTACTTTGTTCTCATGGAAGCTTGCCAGAGAAGTTTGAGGAGCCCAAGATTAATTTCTGACTTATTATTTAGTGCAAATCGTTTAGGGCAGGCCAGTCGGTAGAAATTTGGTTCAGGTTGACTTGCAGTTTTGACTGTCTGTGTTCCTCACTGAAGGTATAATCCATTGGTGGTTAATTAGCAGAACATCTACAGACCTGAAAAAGTTCCTTGGATGAGAAGTGAAATGTTTTCAAGAAAAATCTCCAGTTGCCTTTTTGAAAAGCACCTTTGGGGACAACTCTGATTTGAATGATTGAGAATCTCCATAGACACAAACCCTGTCCTTGTCACCTACCACTATTGTCAACAGATAGGGAACCACAGGACAAAGAAGATTCAGTGCTGCATACCACAATAGCCTCTCCAGTACTAGTTACTAGGGAAGGGCGAGATTTGGCTTTAGCCTTAAGAAACTGACAAGCAAAAGTGGAGATAGGAATGAATCTGTCCTCATTTCCCATGATGACATGCCTGAGACATGCTTCACCCATAGGAAAAGATACTGGTTCTGAAAGGAGGGGGTGTAGAGGAGAACAGAAGTAGAGTTGGCAAAGGTAAAAGGTGCTCCACCAATGCGTGGGAGTTGTACAAGTCTTCATGTGGAAAAGATTATTTCAGTTCAACCCTGACAAGGGTGAATGGCTGTGGGTTTTAAGATTCCCTGCATCTACTGAACTTCTACTGTTCACTCTGCATGAGGTTACACTCCATGGACAATCTGGGGATTCTCCTGGACTTGAATCTCATGCTCATGCTGTTGACAGCTGTGGCCTGGATACTTTTTTCAACTAGTATATCTTATACAGGGAGGCTCGGGATGAGTGAAAAATGGGCCTCCCAGAACTTTGGGAAGGCTGGAAATGGGTCCATTTCTGGCTTCCAGAGAGCCGCGGTAGCCTGGGGAGGCCATTTTCGCCCTCCCAGAGGATCAAGGAAAGCCTCTGGAGCCCGGGGCGGGCAAAAACACCCCCCCGCCATGGTGCAGGAGACCGACTAGGCCACACCCACCATGGCCATGCCAATCCAGCAACTGGGCAGAGAATCCTTTGCTAAAAATTTTGAAGCCCATCCCTGT